GGCTCTGTGCCCTGGAAAATGAGCTTGCCAAGCTCAGCTCTGCCAAGGAGAGCCCCCGCTCCCAGCTCCGCAGCACTGCACCAGTGCCAAAACCACGGGGCAGCTGTTGTGTCATAACCCCCTCGCAGCTCTCTTCAAGAAGTGTAAATGAGTGGGACCCTCAGGAAGAAAGAAAACATTCTCAGCTGACCTTTAAGGGTGGAGGATTGCTTCAAAAGAGCCTGTTTGGACACATCTCAAAGGGTTTGGGAAGCAAAACACCAGGCAAACAGCATCAGGCTCCCACCGCTTTGCATGACTCCAGCTCATGCTCAGAGCTTGGAGAGCTGCCTGTCACCACCCCATCCCTCCATCCATCACCTCTGCCTTCAGAAAGCAAAGCACGGACCTCTGACCACAGCTGGTGTGAGAGCACCCCTCTAGCACAGAGCAAAGACGTTTGAGAAGCTGTTGGGAAATCACACAACCACAGAAAGGTTGGGTTGGACGGGACCTTAAAGCCCATCCAGTTTCAACCACCTGCTGTGGGCTGGGTGCCCCCCACCAGCTCACACTGCCCAGGACCCTATGCAACCTGACCTTGGGCACCTTCAGGGATGGGGCACCCACAGCTCTCTGGGTAACCTGGAAAACAGACTGCAGAAAGCTGCTACAAAACAAGGGAACAGTGGTTTGCAGCTCCTCCGATCCTGAGAACAGAACAGCTTCGTGCAAAATCTTGAGCAAAATGGAATGGAATTTTTTTTCTGGTGCTCCATTTGGCATGTCGGAGCCGTCGCAGCATGATCTGGAGTATGGCTGTTTGTTTACTACTGTTTGAAAGTGTGTCATAAAATACAGATGATGTGAGTAGCCTAGAAATGCAACGAGGTTTCAGAGACAGAATTGCTCTGAGCCTTTTTATTAAATGAAACATCCATTTACTCCCAGGCAGAAATCACAATGGGATCCATCATAAAAATGATCAATAAAGCATTGGGTTGCGACTCCTGCTCTCTCGTTTAATTTTGTTATTGAAATAACTGTTTCTCAGTGCATGGAATTTCCTGGGGGTTAACAACAGACATCAACATGGCTACAAATCCACCCCTCCTGATTTAATTCTGGGCACTGGCACAGGTTACCCAGAGAGGTGGTGATGCCCCATCCTTGCAGACACCCGAGGTCAGGCTGGATGGGGCTGTGAGCACTGATGGAGCTGTGGGTGTCCCTGTGCACTGCAGGGTGGTTGGATCTGACGGCCTTCAGGGTCCCTTCAAACTCAAACTATGATTCTAGGACTCCATCGTTCTAGGATTAACAGAGCTGGTGGAATGCATGCCTGTCCCCAGCTGCTGTGGTGTCACCACCTGAATCACTCAGAGGTGATGCTGAGAAGCAAAACCATCTATTTTTGGGGGGGAAGGGGGGAGATGATTTTGTGTAGGCTTCTGGGAAAGGATTTTGAGATCATCCTTCGGAACCCATCACGTCTGACTCACCACAGCACCAGGGCGAAGGGAAAGGGGCTGTTTGTGCGGGAACCCATGCGCCGAGGTCTCCATTTCCAACATACAAACTTCTGAATGGCTCTGGATTGTGGGGCTGATCGGGGGACATCCATTCTTTTTGTTGATGTTGCTCAAACACCAAAGTGAAATAAGCACCCACTATTTGTTTATAACTTGCTTTAAAAGCACAGCAGTGTTTGGGCAAACAGACCCAACAAATGGGATCAACTCCGAGAGGGATTAGGTTCAACTCTGTAGAGCCATGACTGATGGACCCGGTGTCTCCTTGGGCACTGTCACCTTGAGAAATTATTTCCACACCTGGGTAAGGATTTCTGACAAAACTGTTCTCCCACTATAAAAATGCTGTACTGACAAAGCCGAGACTATGAGAAAAGGGCTGCTCTCAAAATTGTCCCTTCTCTAGAAATACCAGGGAGAAAAGTTTCAAAATTATCAGAGAATCCCATTAAGGTTGGTTCGGTTTCTCTTCCATGTAAAACATTGTCATCGCCAGTTATATAATTGCAAAAAAACAGTGTAAAACCCCAAAATACACTGCAGATCAAACCCAAAGCTTCCATTAAATTCACTAAGTGAATTGCTTAGCTGTTAGGCTTAATTTTAAAAAGCCATGAACACTTGGCATTCGGCAGCTTGTTTGCTGGTAGGATGAAAACAGGAGCTTGCAGATGGGCAGGAATTCCTTCAGCGCTGGGCAATTAGTGTGGGCACATGAGTCAAGACATCGCCTTGCACGAAAACAAGTGGGAATTTCCACTGGTGGCCTCGTTTGGCACCAATCTGGAACCGAAATCCTGCTCTAGCGGAAATCCACGGCGGCGTTGTCCCTGTCTACATCAAATTTGGGATTAACCTTTGAATGGCTCGGACCCTACGGCGTGTTGTAGCTTGAGAGCTGGAATCCCACATCCCAGCCACACAGACACTGCACTGACCCTGCTAAAGCATTGCTCACCCTGCCGTGATCTTCCTAGCAGATGAGAAACCGGAGCTTGGGAGCGCTCCCCCTCCACCTCCTCTTGTTGTTCAGCTTGGGAATTTTATTAGCTGTCAACGTGTCAAACTTCCACTTAGCTGGACAGCTGCATGACCAGCCGGACTCTAAGGTCTGCCAATAAAGTTTAACAGAGCTATCAGCTTTTCACGTGGAGGAGATTACACTACAGGAGCACTCAGGTATCAGAGAGACTGAGTGAGAGCTGGGCAAGCTCGTCTTTCATATGGTAAAGGAAGAGAAAGAAGCGAGGAGAAGCATGGACAAGCCTGCTTATTTTTGTCCAGTGCTGATGCAGCAATTAACTCAATGGGATGCCGTGCAGAAGTTGTGACCATACACAGTACAGTTAGAAAGCCTGACGGCAGCTCTGCTGTAAAACTGTGTTTCATAGAGGGTTGGAAACGACCTCCAAGATCATCTGTTCTGAAAGTACTTTTAATTTACCCTCCTCCCGTGTTAACACAAAATGCTCTTGGGGACAAAGTCTGTCCCTTAACACCCAGAACTCCTCATCTCAGCTGGTCCTACCATCATTACAGCTCCCTCAAACCCAAAGTGCAATTTCTTAACCTTAAAACCTCTTCCCAAACAGGGCTAAGAGTACAAGGTGGTGGAAGATTTCCCTGCTGGATGTATGTGTGTGTGTGTGGCTTTTCTTCCCCCCACAAGAACTTGATTGACTAATGTTTGTAGGTCCCGAGAGCCAGTAAAAGATCTGCTCTGATATCCAGAAAATTTTACAAGGGGCGGCAGGCTTAAAAGTGGTGGGAAGAAGCTGAGCCTGCCAGGATGTCGGAATGAGAAAGCCATCAGGAATGTGCCTCAGAGAACAGCTGCTACTAGAGCCCTGGCAGGAACCTCCACGCGAGCTGCCTGGGAGCAAGCAGGGGGATTCAGAGATCACAGCTTGAAACAAGGGAAAGGTTCCCCTTATTTATTTATTTAGCTTTCCCTTTCTCTGCTTTCGCCTCCCTCCCTTCTCCCAGCCTTGTCACGGTGAGGTCAGAACCGATTGGAAAAAAGAGAACCTGCTGCTGGCTTTTGCACTCCCTGGTACTTTTGGGGCTTTCCCTTTCCTCTCCATCACAGCTCGTGCAATGCAGATTTCTCGTGCTTCATTAAGAGATATTCCCTTAAAAAAAAAATCCCGTGTCAATCTACACAAGGAATTCTTAGAAGCAGAATATGCAGAACAAAAATGGGGGAAATGACATAGTACAACCTCTGGTGGCTTAGCCCCTAAGTTAGTCACTTTTCCCAGGCTCCATCTATCTACAGTCCTGTGTCTAGCAAATTATCACTACTGCTGAAAACCCAGATAAGGTTTTTTTTGGCTGGAGTCAGTTCACGAGATTTCTTTTTTGCTGGCTTTATCAAGCAGACCCTGGATGCTGGATTTCCCCTCTCAAGGGGAAGCTGGAAGGCGAGAAAGCAGCTGCCACAGTGCTGTTGGGAATAGCCTTTAACCCACGAATGTCCCAGGTGTGCACAGGAGGGCAAACATCCCTGTCCAGACAGCGTGGGGCGAGCTTGTGGCAATCACATGAAGCTCATCATGCTGAGATCCACAGGACAAAAATAAAAGGCTGTTCTGTGTTGGAGGGGCTGGCTAACAGGCCTTGCCACAAGCCCGCCGTGCTCCTTCTCTCCTCGCCTGGCTCTGCCTGCATGCACACAGCTCAGTGCTCAGCCTGAAACCCAACCGCACGGCCACGCAGAGCTCGGACTGCTGGGGTCTCCATTTCACTTCTCTAACCCAGCACAATCCCCATTCCCTCCCCCTTCCCTTCCCTTTCCCCAAGGGACCCTATTATACCCCCCGATCTGTTCACACTCCTGATCCCTCTGCGTGTTTGCACACACTGCTGACCCAGCCTTTATCTGGAAGACATAAGGGTCTCTGTGTGGAGTTCCCACAAGGGCTATTAATCGTGTAGATGTCAGAGTCCCCCGGCCCCAAACCCTCCCTTCCTGCTCCTCCCCTCTTCTTCCCTCCCCCCCCTCCCTTTTTGTCCTCTCTGGAGATCGGGGTGGAAAAAAGAAAGTCTGATGAAAATTCACACACGCATCTTGCAAACTTTGCAAAATATGATCTGCTCCCCTGGGCAAGGTTGGTCAATGGCGCGATTTCTCCTCCAGCACCAAATACAAACACACACATGCTGCTTCCTCCGAGGAATTTCCTCACACAGCAAACAGAGAGCTAAGCGCCTTGCCAAGAAGGGAAACGTTTGGCTCCTCATCCCAACCTGGATGGAAATCCTGCAGCTGGTACCTCTGCAAGAAGTCAAACCCAAATGGCATAGCTGCAAACCCATGGGAACGCAGGAATGCACACAACTGGATTTTAGCCTCAGATTCTCATGCTTGAGGCTCCAGAGAAGAGGTCCATCCAAATTTCCACCTTCCATCCCCAATGCTACTGTCTCTCTCCCCAAGGGAAACAAGAAGCTGTGCCGCCAGACTCATCCTAGGGTTCTGGTTCCTACCTGGACACGGGCCTCGGTGAGCTTGGTTCTCTGTGCCAGCTCCTCCCGGGTGTAGATATCTGGGTAGTGAGTCCTCTCAAAGGCCTTCTCCAGCTCCTCCAGCTGCTCTGCAGTGAAAGTGGTCCGGCTGCGGCGCTGCTTCCTCTTCAAAGGCAGGTCTGGTTCGGATTCGACATCGGAGCCTTCATCCAGCCTGTTCCCTGGGTGGGCAAGAAGGGGGGAATGATGCTTAATGAGAGACAGGGCTGTAGGGCACACCTGAGTGCTGCAGCGATGGTGTCCACCAAAACAAATGCTCTGCCTACATACGACACATCTACCAGTTTTCCACCACTGCCACTACTTTCTCCCATTATCTTTCCCCATACTGTTAAGAGCCAATCTATCAAAACCAGAACCGTTTGCACAAAGGGATGCTGCCCAGCCCACGGTGAAAGAGCTTCCTGTTGTTGACTTATGTTACCTCAAGTGATTTCCATTTTTGGTTTGAAGGGACTGTGTTTAAGTGTTGTATATTTTACACTGAAAATACGTAAAATCTGAAAGATAAGAGCATAAAGATTTTCAGTATATGATGCCTTGGCTTCTGCAGTCTGATTTCCTCCTGTGTTTTGGTGAAGTGCTAGCTCTTGAGCTTTCAATTTTTTAAAGCACCTTGAGAGGGAAAAGAGAGTTATTAGGAATTTTTTCCAGCTGGGAAAAACATTGCCGTCTCCGCTTCATCTCTGGGTTGAGCTGCCCAATCCACAGAGTTCTTCTTCTCTTACTTTGCAGATTTCAGCAGTCATTTTGCACAGTCAGACTCTCAGAGCGTGAAAAGAGCATTGAAGTCCTTCACCAAGGTCTAACTGATCACCTCCTTCCTCTCCCCTGCCTTGCTCTGGACCTTTGCCTTTCCCTTCTTGAGCCCCAGGTCCCCTCAATCTCTTTGCTTTTCTCTCTCCCTCACAGTAGAGCTGAAATAAGCAAAACTCATTCTGTTCTTTTTTCTTCCTATTTGGCTTAGAAATGAAGCAGAAGGCACAGATTTTCACCCAAATTCCACTCAGACCCACTGGGTTTTGGATGGAACGCACTGCCAACAGCATTACCAATGTCTCCAGCATTTGCTAGCAGCGTCTCATGGAGCAAAGCTTGGATTTCAAAGCTGTGCCCCCGAGGATCCAACTGAACTTTTTGTTCAGTTCCTGTGCTACCATCACCCGAAATCTGCCTTCTTCTTTTCAGAGCTGGGAATGGCAGCTGTGCCTCCCCAACAGCTGCTCTGCTTGGAGGAGTAGGAGGCAAACATCCCACCGGAGCTCACTTGTTTGTGCTGAGAAGATCACAAAATGCCATTGCGTTCTGCTTGCTGTGGGACAAAAATGCTTTTATGTCTCGAGGACACAGCGTTAGAGCTGAGCTAACTCCACTTGTGTTCATTAACCAGCTTTCTGATCGCGTCCGTGCTCAGGAAAGGTCTGGAATCTCAAATGGTGTGAGAGGAACATCTGTACTTGAGAACAGCAGCCCTGCACATCTGCACCCCAGATGATTTGGGGCAGGTAGGAGCACATCTGGAGCTTGGAGAACTGCATTGTGCCAAAGCACATCTGGAAAACTGCAGCACACGGCAGAGTTCTGCACACTGATCACATAAGTCACTGGCTATTGTTGGTTTAATTAGGATTCTTTCTTGATAATCGATACAAAAAAAGGACAGAGCTGTGTTTTGGCTCAGAACGTGACAGGGTCAGTGAGAGAAATAGAAAATACATTGTGAGCTGTGCTATGTACAACAGTTCATTGCTTTCTTGATGCAACTGCTTACACAGCATACAGCAAGGCTGGGATCCAGCATCTCCCCAGGTGAGGAAAGTCCACGTCCCTGATTCGCTCTAAGGATTTGAGAAAGGAAAACCAATTGTCACCAGTAACAATCTGTCCTATTCACAGCAGCACCGGTGACCGTGCTGGCCATCACCCTGGCTACAGGGCCAGAAAGAGAGAAAGCCCAAACTTGCCACATAAATTGATGTAACACTCTCTATCCATGAGACTCCGAGCAGCCCCCAGCTGGCATTATCTCCATTTCACAGCCGTGGCAGGGATGGTGGAAGTCACCCACCTACGGTCACCCCATGAGTCAGGAGCAAAGCTGGGAAAAGAAGCCGCAGCTCCTCGTGCCAAGTCCAAGGCTCCAGCAGCCCGACTACAAAGACAAAACCAAGAGAGCAAGAAAAATCCCAGGGCACGCCTGGAACCAGCTGGTCTCAGTACGATGCAGCTGCTGCTGTCAGCCACAGATTCACTAAATAATACAGAAAGTCGTTTGGCTGAGATAGACTGCAATATGAGCCTGTGATTAGAGCATCCCCTGATAACAGGGACTGTCCCTTACCTGCCTAACGCACGACTCGAGGATCAAACAGGTCTTTTCCACTCCTAAACGTGCTGGACAAACCGTTGCCATAATCTCCATGAAGTTTCTGTGCAATCAGAAGCTTCCCAGAGCTGCAGGAGTAACTCAAGGAAACCTCCCTTCCCAAGAAAATCCAGGGGATCCATCCAAAACCTGAGTGCTTCATTTCTTGCTCCACATCTCCATGTGAAACACAGACACACTGCACTCCAAACAGCACAAGCAGAGGGAGAAACTCAGTTTGCAGCCTCTAGAATAATGGGGTACTGTGGGAGCACATGTTGGCAGAGTTTGACACTTGCTCAGCACAGGCAGCAGCGTGCACACTGTCAATAGAATGGTGGAGAGGTACCTGGCAGCAGCTTCCTACTGATCACTAATGATGCTGGAGGATGGGAAGCAGCTAGCTGCCTGCTCACAGCTCCCCCTGCTATCCTACTGGCTGAGAAAGAGCAGAAGGGAGAGGTGAAGAGATGGGAAAACTTCAGAAAGGAAAATGAAGAGAAAAATGCGTAGGTTGCAGGATGAACTGATCCATAATGGCTCTTCTCCATTGAAAGAAGTGTGGCCAGAGCCTGCAGGTGTCCCTACTGACATAGGGCAGGTGAAATACACACACCTGGGCTTGTCTTGGGCCCATTCTGGCAGGAGGAGATGTGTAAATTATGGCCCACAAACACAACATTCCTGAGAAATGCTGCTGGCTCACGTTGGAGTACAATTAGCAGAGCACTCTGGAGGGGTTTGAAAGGAACACAAGTAGACTGAGGCTGGAGGAGAGGAGTAAGGAAAAGCCTCCATAATTACAGGCTGGATTTGTCCTCCCTCTTCAGCTTTCCCATCCTCCCCCCTTCTCCACTCCAGCTCCATTTACTGCTTCTGGGCTCCTCTTAGCCCCAGAGTTAAATTAATCAACAGGATTAGGTGGAATCGGCCGCGAGAAGACCCTCCAGGCTCAGACTGAGCCCTTGATGCCCTACAAGGACCTGCTGCCTCGTCCTGAAGCACCTTGGTGCCGTCTGGAAGGATTGGCAGGCAGGACCAGACATGAAAACGCATTCATTAAAGTGGGGATTGGATTTTGTTGGAGGGGAAAGGGAAGCCACATGTGCTCTCCTTCAGTATTTCTCATCTCTTTGTCACCGTCTCTCTCTCATTTCCTCTCTCTTTCTCTCTTGCTTCCAGCTGCACCATCCTAAAAATTAAATGTTGGAGAGGAGAGGCGAAGAAGGGAACGGTGTTGTGGATGGCTTAGCTGTAACTGCGCTGTTTGTGCTGCAAATGGCTTCAGCAAACCCACCCAGGCACTGCTGGAGCAGCAGTGATGCTCCAAAAAGCGGGGCTGGAGGTGACAGCTGGGAAGCTGAAGGTGCCCCAGGGGAAATTGGGTTGGATGGCACAAGAATGAAGGCAAATCTCACTTTGGTGGTATCCCAGAGATCTGACTATCCCCTCATTAGAGCACTATGCCAGGTCCCCCCTTGCTCACAAAGCTCTCCATCCACCAAAGGAGCCGTTCTTGGCTCCCCAACAATGAAATATGTGCATGTTTTTCTAGTTCTGTATATACCTGAGTTTCAGGTCAGGCAGTTTTATGATGGACGACAATAAAGAGGCTCTCAATGGCCTCGGAAGGGGCAGCTTCACCTGCAACATGATGCTTTTGCTTGACTTGATAAACAGAGCCACATTATCATGAGACAAAAAGGAGCTACCCATCTCACAGATGGAAATCTCTCTTGATTTCTGTGAGGGCATGAAATAATAAATCAAGGAAAAGATCTGCATGTATTCACTGCATCCACAACATTACTCTGTTCTTTCCTGTTCTGTTCTCAAGCACCCACAGTATATTTAACAGGTTGAGGCTGTAACTGGCCATAGGCCAGATCTGTGATGCTGCTGTTTCCATGCTCTTTTTTCACCACCTGCTTGTGCAACTAGCCTGTGTGCCATGCCAGGACCGACAGAAGGTGTGCTTCAGCCCAGCACATCCGCAGCAGAGCTTCTGGATAGAGCAGGGTTAGATGAGGATGTAGCAGAGGGCTCTGCTACTGTCCTCTAGCACATATAGGAGCAGGGAGGTAGGAGTGCACACCTCCCAGAAGCAAGCTAGCATCCCAGGTGGTGACAGGGGTCAGTAGGAAGCAGCCATTTATTCAGGGCATGGCTCCTGTGCTAGATCTGCAGCCAACAGCTTCGGGAGCAAGAGCTGAAACTCTGCCTGTCTTCTTAGCATCTGCCTTTCCCTCTGGCAGAAAGCAAACAAAACCCATCAAAATGCAAACAAGCCTATGGAAAGCCTGAGAGAAGGAGAGAGACAGTGGCAGCATCACAGGAACAGAACTGTATTGCCTTGATTTTTCTTTCTGACATGAAAACAGGAGAAGTCTTTTCTCTCTCTCCTTGGAAAATGATAAAGTCTTGAGTTCACAATGAGGAAGAGATGTGTATTTGTTTGCAGAATAACCCCGCTCACCTCCAAGCCCATCCAACAGCAGGTGGGACTGCAAAGAGGGGACAGAGGTGTTTCAAATTCATCTCTCACCCCTCTGCCCCTGTCCGAGCACATTCCCAGACACACACAAAACCAATCAGCGACACAGCACATACAATAAAGCTTGGGTTTCCCCCTCCCTCCCCTTTCCAACCTGCAAACTCCCCATTCTCCAGCATTTGCTCGTGCCTGTGCAGCTGTATTACAGTTTAACATAGTTTAGAGGGCTGTGGTGTGGAGCAGAGGCAGAAAACGAATCACATAATAGTTGATATGCGTTTTAATCAAGTAATTCGGCCCAA